TGGTCTTTTTGAGACAGGAGACCTGTAGGCCCAGCTGTCTTGAATTCACCATGGAGACCAGGCTGGCCTCAAACTTACAAAGATCCGCCTGCCTCTGCCTCCCAAGTGCTGGGATTAAAGACATGTGCCACCACGCCTGGTGCGGATTTTTAAAAGATAAATTTTATTTATTATTTTTATTTATTTTGTGTGTATGAGTGTGTTGCGTGCATGTGTGTAACTGTACCCGTGTTGTGCAATGCCTGTGGAGGCCAGAAGTGGGTGTCAGATCCCCTGGAACTGGAGTTAAGGACAGTTGTTAGCTGCCATGTGGGTGCTAGGATTCGAACCCGGGCCTTCTGCAAGAACAGTCAGTGTTCTTTACCTCTGAGCCATCTCTCCTGCCCTGAGGATTTTTAAAGCAACTAATAAACACATGTCAGCAATTTTAGCTTTCATACTTTTTTAAAAAGAATTGTTATTTTTTACTTATTGTATAGTGTATTGCCTGCATGTGTGTAAGTGCACCTGTGTCATGTAATGCCCACAAAGGTCAGGTGTCAGATCCCAGGAACTGGAGTTACAGATGGTTGTTAGCCACCATGTGGGGCTGGGAATTCAACACAGGTCCTCTGCAAGAACAGTGTTCTTAAGCACCGAGCCATCTCTTTAGCTCCAGTTTCATACCTTTTAAAAGAGTACTAAGTGGGTAGCCAATGGAGGTCTTCATAGACTATCTCATTTGGAAGGGATGAAACACAATAGAGGTATATTTGAGCTGCCCTCTATCTTCATGTAAATATCATATAGTTGTGCATTTTGTCAATTCACAATTGATTCTATTACTGTTGTCATTTAATAAAGTTAGTCAAAGATATGGATAATAAGCCAACATTTCTATCCTGTTAAAACTAAACAGAAACACGACCTCCAGGTTACTTTGGTCCCTAAAGTTTAATTGGCATTTCTTTAGATTGTTTTTTGGTCTTTTTGAGACAGGGTTTCCCTGTAGCCCCAGCTGGCCTGGAACTCACTGTGTAGACCAGGCAGGCCTTGAACGTAGAGAGATCTACCTGCCTCTGCCTCCAGAGTGCTGGGACTACAGGCGTGTGCCACCACACCCAGCTCCTTTCTTTAGATTTTTAAGGTCTTAAGAACAGGGTCTTAGCCGGGCATGGTGGCACATGACTTTAATACCAGCACTCGGGAGGCAGAGGCAGGTGGATCTCTGTGAGTTCAAGGCCAGCCTGGTCTATATAGTGAGTTCCAGGCCCCAGCTTGGGAGACGGGGAAGCCCTGTCCAAAAAAAACCAAAAAAAAAAAAAAAAAGAAAGAAAGAAAGAAAAAAAAAAAGAATAGGGTCTTTTCATTTTTGTCTCCCTAATTACAATACAATTTCTATAATGAACAGTACATGATATTTATACAAACTGTTCATGAATATGTGTATTTGGTGGGGCAGGGAAATAACTCCCATTCTTAGCACCCATATAAAGAAGTCTGGTACAGCAATCCAACACTAGGAAGATCCCTGGGGCTTGCTGGCATCCAGTCTGGCTGAATTGTGAGATCCGGGTTTAGTGAGAGACTCCATTTCAAAATATAAGATAGAGAGGGATTGAGGAAGATGCCTGATGTTGACATCTGACACACACACACACATGCATGCATGCACGCACGCACACACACCACACACACAAACACACACCACACACACACACAAACACACCACACTCACCACACACACATACCACACACATGTGCACATACAAACACACACGTGCACACACACCACACACACGCACACACAAAGACACACACACCACACAGTCGCACACACAAAGACATACACACACCACACACACGTACACACATGTACACACACCCGGACACACACACAAACACACACACCACACACACATACACACACACCACACACGCACACACACACCACACACACATACACACATACGCACCACACACACACAAACACACACCACACACACATACACACACACCACACATACACACACCACACATACACGTACACACAAACACACACACACCACACACACACATACACACACGCACACACACACAAACACACACCACACACACGCACACACACCACACATATACACACATGCACACACAACCACACACACACATCCATGCACATCCACACACACCACACACGCACTCACACACACACCACACACACACACACCACACATACACACATACACACACACCACACACACACACCACACACACAGACACACATACACACACCACACACACACTCACACACACCACACACACACACACACGTGCTTGTGTGCTTGGCAAAAGCAATATTCCAAGGTGACTTAGAGGACATGCAGCTCATCTGTTCTTTAAGACACTCTAAAATCCATCTTTGGATAAGGTAGCTGAGACGCTTATTATCTGCCCCCCCAAATGAAGTTTCCTTGAACTTTGATTTGATTTTTAGTATCAGTTTTGAATACTACCACTTAAAAAGCTCAATTGAATGCCTTGCTTGCTTTCATAGTGAGAATATTGCCAAAGATTTTTTTTTATTACCTAGTAGCATGTCCTTTATATGGTAACCCTGATAGAAACTCCTGGGGTTGTTTTTATTTTTTATTTGTCTGTGTGTGTGTTTGGTTCGTTTTTTGTTAGTTTGGGTTTTTTTTGTGTGTTGGGGTATATGCATGTTTATTATGTCCATGTTTATGTGTTTGTGTGTGTGCATGTATGTGTGGGAACATGTACCCATGAGTGCACCTATGGAGGTCATAGGTTGACATCAGAGTTCTTCTCAATCATTCTCCACCTGATTTTTTTGAGACAGGATCTCTTTTTTTAAAAAAATATTTTACTTATTTTTATGTGTATGTGTGTATAGCCTACATGTAGGTAAGTGCACCCATGTCCTGCAATGCCCATGGAGGACAGAAGAGGCTGTCAGATCCCCTGGAACGGACAATTGTTAGCTATGTGGGTGCTGGGATTCAAACCCGGGTCTTCTGCAAGAACAGCCAGTGGGTTTTTGGGGTTTTTTTTGGTCTTTTTGAGACAGGGTCTCCCTGTAGCCCCAGCTGTCCTGGAATTCACTATGTAGACCAGGCTGGCCTTGAACTTACAGAGATCCACCTTCCTCTGCCTCCTAAGTGCGGGGATTAAAGGCGTGCACCACCACTCCTGGCAACATTTATTTATTTTATGTGTGTGTTTGTGTGCCTGAGTGTATTTGTGTGCACCACTAGAGTATAGGTGCTCACAGTGGCCAGAAGAAGGTGTCAGATCCCGTGGAACTGGAGTGACAGGTGGTTGTGAGCCTCCATGTGCATCCTGGGAACTGAACTCCCACCCGCTGCAAGAGTAGCCAGTGCTCTTAACCATTGAGCCGTCTCTCTAGCCCCTGTTTTTAAACTGTTGATGGTCTCTTTGCTGAGGAGAGAAAATAAATGAGGGGAAATTCAGAAAGGAGGGGTTAGGTGATGGAGCCAGGACCTGGAAGGTGTTGTAATTTTTGAAATTAAAAAAAATTATGTGTGCGCATGTTTTCTGGCATGAATGTAAGTGTGCCCATGCATGCAGTGTCTGCAGAGGCCAGAATAGGGCCTCAGAGCCCCTGAAACTGGAGTCACAAACTGTTGTTAGTCGCCATGTGGGTGCTGGTAACTGAACTTGTGTCTTCTGCAAGAGCAGTCAGTTCCCTTAACCGCTGAGCTATCTCTCCAGCCCCTCATATACATAAAATTTTTAAAAAGAGATACAACTCATAAAATTTGACCTTTGCGTGTATAGTTCAGCAATTTTTTTGTGTATTCTGACTTGTGAGACCATATCTATTATATAATTACAGAAAGTTTTCATCTCCCAAAAGAAATCCTGTGTATTAATACTCATTTCCCGTTCTATCCTCTCTCCAGTCCCTGGCAACCACTTGTTAGTCCACTTTCCATTTTGGAAAGCTCACATATATCGAATGATGTATGGACTTTTATGACTTTTTTCATTTGGTACAATGCTTTTAAGGTTTGTCTATGCTGTAGCGTATGTCAGTACTTTATTCCTTCTCATTGCCAAAAATACTCTTTAAGAACATAACTTTGGAAAAATTGGAGCATGCTGAGTGTCATGGCTCATGCCTATAATCCTAGCACTTTGGAGGCTTAGGCAAGAGAATTGCCATGAGTTTGAGGCCAGTCTGGGTTACATAGCCAGTTCTAGGCCAGCCTGGGTTACAACTGAGACCCTGTCTCAAAAAAAAAATTCTTTTGGAAACAAACATAATTAAAAAAAATTGGTTATATATCCTGGTGATCCATGGTGAGTTCCAGGTCAGCCAGGACTACATAGTGAGACCCTGTCTCAAAAAAAAAAAAAAATTTTGGTTATATATCCTAGTGATCCATGGTGAGTTCCAGGTCAGCCAGGACCACATAGTGAGACCCTGTCTCAAAAAAACAAAACAAAATAAAAGACAGAAGAACAATAACAGATTAGATATATAAAAGGAACTTTTTCTTTATCCTAAATGATTTGAGGGTAAGTTGTCAACCTGACACCCTCCAGTGTGTATATTCTACCAACAAGGATATCCTCTGTCCCTCAACACAACCAGTGAGATCAGAAACTGGCACCAAGACATTTCTAACATCTCCTTCTCAAGTCCACTACAGAATCAATTTGCACTGTTAACATCATGTCTCTTTCATTTTGTCAGAGATTAGTTGCCTTCTGCTTTTTTAATTTGAACATGATGACTCTTTTGATTCACACAAATCATATGTTAGAGTAATAGATTTTAAAAAATTTTTATTTTATGTGTATGAGTACATTGCCTGCATGTATGTGAGTGCACCCATGTCATGCAATGCCACAGAGGTCAGAAGAGGGCTTTGGATTCCCGTGGAACTGGAGTTAAGGACGGTTTGTAGCTGCCATGCGGATGCTGGGAATCAAACCCGGGTCTTCTGCAAGAGCAGTCAGTGCTCTTAACCCCTGAGCCATCTCTCCAGCCCCCGAGTAATAGAATTTTAACCAAAGGTTGGTCTTTATTTTATAACCTTTTCGTCTTTGTTTTTTTATATATTTTTTAAAAAGCTTATGTGACAGTTTTATTCTCTCAAATGTGGCTTATCTGAGAAGTATATTGCTTATTCTTAAACATTTATTACATTTTATTTGTGTGTGTGTGTGTGTGTGTGTGTGTGTGTGTGTGCGCGTGCATGCACGTGTGTGTACGTGCGCGTACCAGCATCCGGTTGGAGGACATCTTGTGGGTAGTCAGTTCTCTCCTTCCACTATGTGGGTTCTAGAGACCAAACTCAAGTTGCTATACTTGGTGACAAAAGCCTTTACCTGCTAAGCCATCTTGCTGTCCCCAAATAATTCCCTTTTTTCCATTTCTGGTGGTGGTTCTGGGGATTGAGTCAGTGCTGATTAATGCTACGCAAACATTCTGCCACTGTACTATTTCCTAGCTCTGTATTGCTTATTCTTGATATCTGTATTCCAATATGATCTCTCTTCCTCTCTTTGTCCTAACTTTTCCCAATGCATCAGTGACATTGAGCAGGTCTCCTTTCTCAAAGGAACATGGTGATGAATGAAAGCAAAGCTCCCTTCCACGCCCTTCCTCCCTTGAGAGGTTTGTATACATGTGATGGATGCTTTACTTTTGTGGCTTCTCTCAGATGTCCCCTTGCACATCAGTGTTTGATTTCTTTTCCCTTACTGTTAGGTTAGCAACAGCCCCCTGTCAGAAGAGGCTGTCCTGGGATTTGAATATGGGATGAGCATTGAAAGCCCAAAGTTACTGCCTCTTTGGGAGGCTCAGTTTGGTGATTTCTTCAATGGAGCCCAGATCATCTTTGACGCGTTCATCTCTGGAGGTTGGTGTTAATGTGTGACTGGGTGCATGGGCCCAGTTTCATGGGACAAATGAATGAAAAAAGACCATTGCTTCCCTTGAGAATCTCTGCCATGCATCTCCAGAGAGTTTGGAGGAAATACTCTGATATCCACAGGCATGTGGCAGTCATCAGACAGTTTAATGAGCTGCTAGGAAGAGTACCCTAGATATCTGTCACCATCCCATCCACCTACATCTCCTGGGGGAATGTCTGCTGTATGGAGCAGAGAGATAATACCTGCCAGCTCCTAGGTTATGTGATTCTGCATCCATTCTTGTGGTGTATTGAATGGCAGGTAACGGTGACATAGTGACACTTTATGGTATAAATTGATGATTCTCTTGAAAATCTGCAACTTTTTAGAAGGAAGAAAAGTGCCTGAGGAGCCCAAATTTTGATATGTTCAGAGAATATCTGTGTGTGTGTTCATGGGTGTGCAGATGAACGTGTGTGGATGCACATGCATATGTGTATGAGTACATATGGAGGCCAGAGGTCAACCTTGGGTATCATTCCTCAGGAGTCATCCAGTTGCTATACTTGGTGACAAATGCCTTTACCTGCTAAGCCATCTTGTTGGCCCCAAATAATTCCCTTTTTTCCATTTCTGGTGGTGGTTCTGGGGATTGAGTCAGTGCTGATTAATGCTACGCAAACATTCTGCCACTGTACTATTTCCTAGCTCTGTATTGCTTATTCTTGATATCTGTATTCCAATATGATCTCTCTTCCTCTCTTTGTCCTAACTTTTCCCAATGCATCAGTGACACTGAGCAGGTCTCCTTTCTCAAAGGAACATGGTGATGAATGAAAGCAAAGCTCCCTTCCACGCCCTTCCTCCCTTGAGAGGTTTGTATACATGTGATGGATGATTTACTTTTGTGGCTTCTCTCAGATGTCCCCTTGCACATCAGTGTTTGATTTCTTTTCCCTTACTGTTAGGTTAGCAACAGCCCCCTGTCAGAAGAGGCTGTCCTGGGATTTGAATATGGGATGAGCATTGAAAGCCCAAAGTTACTGCCTCTTTGGGAGGCTCAGTTTGGTGATTTCTTCAATGGAGCCCAGATCATCTTTGACACGTTCATCTCTGGAGGTTGGTGTTAATGTGTGACTGGGTGCATGGGCCCAGTTTCATGGGACAAATGAATGAAAAAAGACCATTGCTTCCCTTGAGAATCTCTGCCATGCATCTCCAGAGAGTTTGGAGGAAATACTCTGATATCCACAGGCATGTGGCAGTCATCAGACAGTTTAATGAGCTGCTAGGAAGAGTACCCTAGATATCTGTCACCATCCCATCCACCTACATCTCCTGGGGGAATGTCTGCTGTATGGAGCAGAGAGATAATACCTGCCAGCTCCTAGGTTATGTGATTCTGCATCCATTCTTGTGGTGTATTGAATGGCAGGTAACGGTGACATAGTGACACTTTATGGTATAAATTGATGATTCTCTTGAAAATCTGCAACTTTTTAGAAGGAAGAAAAGTGCCTGAGGAGCCCAAATTTTGATATGTTCAGAGAATATCTGTGTGTGTGTTCATGAGTGTGCAGATGAACGTGTGTGGATGCACATGCATATGTGTATGAGTACATATGGAGGCCAGAGGTCAACCTTGGGTATCATTCCTCAGGAGTCATCCACCTTGTTTCTTTTGAGACAGAGTCTCTCTCTGGAACCTCACTAGTTAGACTTGGCTGGCTGAGCAGCAAGCCTTAGGGATCCATCTGCCTTCTCAGCACTGGATTATAAGTATGTGCCACTCTGCTTATCTTTTTTGTTCTCACCTGCCCCTAGAGACTGTTCTTCAGTGTCCACTGCTCTGTTTGAGAACGGTGACTCATGTTGTCTGCTGTGCTATGAGGATGGCAGGAGATTCCCATTCTTGCTTAGAGTTGTGTGTTCAGTGAAATCAGAGTGCCACATGCTGTCTGAGAAGTTGAAATGTCCACTTTTGAGTTTGTCTCCTGCTTGCTTGCTATAGCCCCAAGCACATGACGTCACTGGGTTCCATGCATTCAAATGTCTATTTCCCCCTTAAATATGGTGGAGCTGTGTTAGGAAATGCAAGTAATGAAAACAGTTTGGGAGCCTAGGAAGCAAACTAGCACTTCATTTCACTCCAAGTCCTGTCAGACTGTCCTGTTCCTGCCTCAAAATATTCTCTCTTCCTTTCTCATACTTTCCCAGGCGAGGCCAAGTGGCTCCTGCAGAGTGGCATCGTCATCCTCCTTCCACATGGCTATGATGGGGCTGGGCCTGATCATTCATCATGTCGAATAGAGCGCTTCTTGCAGGTACATGGCATGCCACTGGATTCAAAAAATATTTTCCTATTTCCTGGGTTCTTTGATATTTCATACTACCTCCTACAGATAGTTTCATGTGCACTTTATGTGTACATGTGTAAGGTGTTGTATTTGAATGAAATAGACTAAAAACGATGTGAACATTCCTTGGAAGCATAATGCCTCAGATTTCATAATATCACAGTTCTGTGGCAAATGCAATGGTTTCCAGAGCCCAGTATGGTGGCTCAGGCCTGTAATTTCAGCCCTCAGGAGGCTGAGGCAGAACAGTCTTGAATTTGAAGCCAACCTGGGGTACATAAGAAAATCCAATCTCAATAAAAGTGGGGGAGATGGGAAGAGGGCTTTAGGAGATAGCTTAGTTAGTAAAATGTTTGTTGCCTGAAAATGAGGACCTGGATTTGACCCTCACATTAAAAGCATGATTTGTACTTCCAGAACTAGGGAGGCAGAAGGAGATAGGAGGACCCCTGGAGCTCACTGCTAGCCGACCTAGCCTAATCTGTGAGTTCTAGGCCATGTGAGAGTCCTTGTCTCAAAAAACAAGGTCTGTGGCACCTGAGGAAAGGAACTTAAGGTTCACCTCTGTCTTCCCCACACACTCATGCATACATATATGTATACCTACACACATGTGTGCACCCACATGAGAACATGAAAACATAGAAACACTCACATATGCAAAATGATTTCAGGGCTAGGGATGTAGATCAGTGATAGAGTAATTATCTAGCATATGAGTGGCCCTGAGTTCCGTCCTTAGCAACATCTACATGAGGGGTGGGTGAGAGAATGAGAATATAAAGAGGATTCCCATTGTTCCATTGCTGGGGAGGCAGAGACAGTGGATCCCTGGAGTTCACTGGTCAGCCAGCCTGGCCCAATTAGTAACCTCCAGGTTCAGCAAGAGACTTTGTCTCAAAAAATAAGTGGACAGTGACTGAGGAAGACACCAAATGTTGACCTCTGGCTTCACATGTGCATGGAGCCTACATGCACACACATATATGCACACACGCACAACACATAAACATACACAACACACAAACATACACATACACAAACATATACAACCAACAAGAACAACAAGAGAATGAGCTGGAAAGATAAGAAGTTTAAGGTTCACCTCTGTCTTCCCCACACACTCATGCATACATATATGTATACCTACACACATGTGTGCACCCACATGAGAACATGAAAACATAGAAACACTCACATATGCAAAATGATTTCAGGGCTAGGGATGTAGATCAGTGATAGAGTAATTATCTAGCATATGAGTGGCCCTGAGTTCCGTCCTTAGCAACATCTACATGAGGGGTGGGTGAGAGAATGAGAATATAAAGAGGATTCCCATTGTTCCATTGCTGGGGAGGCAGAGACAGTGGATCCCTGGAGTTCACTGGTCAGCCAGCCTGGCCCAATTAGTAACCTCCAGGTTCAGCAAGAGACTTTGTCTCAAAAAATAAGTGGACAGTGACTGAGGAAGACACCAAATGTTGACCTCTGGCTTCACATGTGCATGGAGCCTACATGCACACACATATATGCACACATGCACAACACATAAACATACACAACACACAAACATACACATACACAAACATATACAACCAACAAGAACAACAAGAGAATGAGCTGGAAAGATAAGAAGTGGTACAAAGGGAAATAAAATAGAGCTTGAAGAAATCCTGTTGGTCATATAGCAAGGATATTACCATGTACCATTTTCTGAATGTGTTTTCCCAAAATTCATTCACTGAATCATACTCCCACCCCCCAACCAGACAATGGCATTAGGAGGTGAGGCCTGTAGGAAGTGATGAAGTCATAAGTGTAGATGTCTTAGGAATGAGAATGTCCTTATCAAAGAGGCCCCTCATAACTCACTAGCCCTTTCTTCCATGTGAGGACACAGTGAGAAGGCACTATGTGTGAGCCAGTGAATGGATCCATATCAGACACCAAACTTACTACATGATCTTGGACTTCCCAGCCTCCAGAAATGTGAGAGATAAATTTATGCTATTCATGAGTAACCTAGATTTTGCCAGGCATACTGGCACATGCCAATAATCCCAACACTTGGGAAGTAGAGGCAGGAGGATTAGGAGTTCCAGTCATCCTCGGCTACATAGTAAGTTTTGAGACCCTGTCTCAAAACCATAGAAGAAACAATTACTCAGTTTTATGGCATTGTGTAATAGCAGGCCAAGCAGTTTAAAACAGAGACTGTTGAGGTAAAATGAAGAATCAAGTGTTAGAGGAACTAAAAAACTAGGGTATTGAAGGAATCGACCTGTATATGTGAAAATGACCAAGACAGCTGGAAAACACCAAGTATTGGAGTTCTTTTGCTCTATCTACATTGAAATTGTAAACAGGCTAACGGGAAATTCTTTGGTGTTGGTAGTTCTGGGCTCTTGAGTGCCAAGGGACTCTGGACTTGACTTGTAGACCCAGAGGCTTACAGTTCTGGCCTGTGAGAACTAGAGGCTTATAGCTCTAAGCTCTAGAGGCCAGAAGCTTACAATTCATGTCAGAGGCTTGCTACTCTGGACCTTGACTGTCAGTCATCTCACATCTGGATCAGGGCTGGGAGCCATGTCCTCAGCCTCTGTCATGCAGGAATCTACTGACAGGTAATTGGGTTTTGCTCTCAACTTTTCAACTTTAACACAAATTATTTATTTTTTATTTTTATTTTTATGTGTGTGATGCTTTGCCTACATGTATGTAAGTGTATCACATGTGTGCAGTACCCCAAAGAAGCCAGAAGAGGGTGTCAGCTCCCCTGGAACTGGAGTTACGGACAGTTGTTAGCTGCCATGTGGGTGCTGGGAATCGAACCCAGGTCCTCTGGAAGAATAGCAAATGTTCTTAACCACTGAGCCATCTCTCCAGCCCCAACTTTTCACCTTTATGACTTCTTTTTCTTCTTCTTCTCCTCCTCCTTCTCCTCCTCCTCCTCCTCCTCCTCCTTCTTCTCTTCTTCCTCTCCCCTGCCCCTTCTTTTTTTAAACTGGAGTTATGGACAGTTGTTAACTACCATGTGGGTGCTGGGATTCAAACCCAGGTCTTCTGTAAGAACAACCAGTGTTCTTAACCACTGAGCCATCTCTCCATCTCCCTCTCCTGCCATCTTAATCTGACCATAACCACAATATATATTTTCAGGGGTAATAAAGACATTTTAATATAGGGAGTTGGAGGAATGGCTCAGTAGTTAAGAGCTCATGCTGTTCTTATTATAGAGGATCCAGGTTCAGTTCCTTGCACCTGGCTCACAGCCATCTGTAACTCCAGTTCCAGGGCATCTAACACTCTCTTTTGCTCTCCACAAGCACTCTATGCATGTAGTGCACATACATACATACAGATAAGCACTCATACACATAAAACATAAAA